CTTTGTTCTCCAAGTTCAACTTCTTCTTCAAGTTATTACTCCTCTCCAAGTTATTGTATCCTATATATACATTTGTTCTCTATGGAATAAGACACATCAATTCCTCTATCTTTTTCTCTATTATATCTTCATTCTATAACAACTCAGTGTTTTTAGAAGACTTTTGTCATTATTAGAAGACCTTAATAATTTAAGCGAGTGGGTCTTTTATTTTATTTATTCTACTAGATTTGATCCATGCCAAGCGTGAGATTAAATACTTAAATATATTTTTTAATTGATCTTAATATTTAGACGTGTATTCTAAATCTTTATGAACGTACAAAATGATAGATATTGTACATAAATGTAATAAAGTTTTAAATTTTGATCAAACATATTTTGATAACATATGTTTTGATCAATTTTGCATAAAAATATTAAAACTAATGCAAATAATATTTATTTCAATTTATTTGAAATATAAAATTGATTTTTTTATTATTATGTAAATTATAGAGCAGTCAATAAATCAAATAAATTTTAGATTTATATGAGTTTGTCGGAAATAGCAAATGAAAAATATATGTTTTCTAATAATAAAATTTAAAAATATTTGTAAGCGTAGTTATCATCTAGAAATAAATAATATTGTTACAAATATAATAATGAAAAGATTTTTAATATATCAAAAAATTTTTAAAAAATATATGATGTGGTAAGTCTAAATTTGGTGGGTAATTGAACTAAGATATAGTTGGGTTTTTCTAATTATTTGCATAATGGTTCATTATCATATTATATATAATAAAAATAATTTAACCAATGAAAAAACGCCTGAAAAAATACTATTGGTCACACAATAATCAATAAAGTTAAAAAGTACCTAAGATTATCAAAATAATTTATATTTTGAAACATAAAAAAACTTCCAAAACAGTTTATATTTTGGAACGGATGGAGTAGCTTTCATTAAGAGTTTCTTAAAATCCGTTTTGGATGACATCTATAATTTTTCACCTAGTACTCCCTCTATTAATTATATAGAAGATAGATATAGATAACCATCGATGGTAGCTTCTAACTAGATTTGACCGTAAATATTTGTTGAAAAGAAAATAAGATATTCTCACGTCCTTTATTTATAAAAATAAAACCCTTAGAGTTAGTTAGCACAAATTCATACCATAAAAATGTTTATTTGATTCGTTGGCAATTATTATTCCTTAAATAAAACCCATATAGGCTGCGTAGTTAAGCCAAAAGGATTTGCTGGCAATTATTATTGGATTTAG